AGTTGACTCAGGTGTACGCCAAGGGTGTGTTTTATCACCAACTTTGTTCTCTGTATTTATAAATGATTTAGCTGCTGAAATTAATAGCTTACACTGTGGTATCCACCTGGACACTGACATGCTGAGTATCCTAATGTATGCTGACGATGTTGCTCTCGTAGCACCTGACGAGCACTCTTTACAGCGGATGTTAGACTGTGTAGCAAACTGGTGCGCACGTTGGCGCTTACTTGTCAACATCAAGAAAACTAAAGTTGTGCACTATCGTCCCAGTTACATTAAAATGTCCGATTTTGTGTTTACAATTGGGTCTGACCAGGTTGAAAGTACTCACGCTTATAAATACCTAGGTGTCTGGCTACAGGAACATCTTGATTTGAATTTTACAGTTAAAGAAATAGCTAAATCTGCAAATAGGGCACTTGGTGTTATAATTTGTAAATTCAAAGCAGTTGGTGGTTTAGCTTATAACATTTTTACAACTTTGTACAATAACTTGGTCCAGCCTATCTTATCTTATGGATCGGCAATTTGGGGAACTAAGGAATTTAGCTGTATAAATGCTGTCCAAAACCGAGCGTGTAGATTTTTCTTAGCAGTCGGTAGAAAGACTCCAAATTTGGCTGTCCGTGGTGAAATGGGCTGGACATCCTCATTTACAAAACAAAAGATTGAAATTCTTCGGTTCTGGCGCAGTTTGCATGCTGCAGATCAATCCCGAATGCTGAGTATTATTTGCAGATGGTCAGTAAAATTCCGTAGATCCTGGAATAATACAGTTTTCAACTACTTTGTCAGTTTACATTTACCAATTTATGATCTAAATAATATTTCTACTGAAGAGTTTAACTTGTCTAAAGTATGTCTGTTATCCTTAGACCATTCTGATTGGTTACATGGACTCTGGAACGATACGGGCCAGGTAAATGGTAATAAGTTACGTACATACAGATTATTTAAAGATTCTTTATCAGTAGAACCCCATGTCAGTTTATTGATGAACAGATGTCAGCGCAGTATATTAAGTAAGTTTCGCTGCGGCTCATTGCCATTAGAAATAGAATTAGGAAGATTCACCCGCCCGAAAACACCGCTTATTGAACGTATGTGTAAATTCTGTAATTGCAATGCTGTTGAGGATGAAATACACTTTTTTGCTGAATGTTCTCTCTATACAGATTTACGCTATGATTTATGGAATTTAGCTTCTCAATCAAATCCAAACTTTATACAGATGTCCGCTGCCGACCAGACCGTGTTCTTTATGCGGAACAATAAGGTGGTCAGACCCCTAGCCGCGCTTCTTCACCACATGTATGAGCGAAGACAACTGTGTCTTTCGTCTCTACCAGCCTAGTTCCATGTATCTTAGTATCAGAATGTTCTGATAACTGGCGATAACCGGTGATAACTGGTGATAACTCATTTTTATGTATATGTATGTACTGTGATAACTGGTGATAACTCATTTTTATGTATATGTATGTGCTGTGATATTTCTCATTTTTACTTATATGTATGTGACGTCCTGCGTGTCTCGTAGGCCATAATGGCCGGACACTGTACACACTATTTATGTATTTTTATTGTCACTGCTGTACAGTGTGTGACACGAAAATAAAATAATTTTCTTCTTCTTCTTCTTCTTCTTCTAACGTTATAATATTTCCGGTCATTGCCATCATCTAATACACAAGAGATGATACCAAGACATATTTTATTCGGTTTTATGGTCTATGCGGTCTTACAATTGATTTTATTAGTCTTTAAATCTTATGTCTAGTAAATATTTTCACAAACAGGGCTGTTAACTGATGTAAGGAATGTAACATCCAGTTGAGGACTGAATACGACGTACGTTAGTCTGGTAAGGACATTTCTACAATTAATATTTTGAATAAGCCGTTAATACGCCAGTTGTGACAGGGATGATGGTATGGTAGATGTAGCAGACATATTGACAGCCGTTGTTACGCGAGTCACTAGGTTATTAGTACGGCATTGGCCTTGTTGATTGGTACTATACTTTCTGTGGCCACTGGCGGACGTAATTCAAACTCCTTCCACACTGACATCGCACCAAATATATTTGTGTACCGATGACATAACTCTTACTGACAGGGTAGGGTGGTAGTTCACGCGAAACGGACGACACTGCCTATATTGAGCGGCTCCTTTGATATCGCCTCACAACATACTTTTAATGAATGACCAATTAAACGATGATACACATCAGGATCGCGGAGAAAATACAAGCTTCGTTCGCGTTGAATATATATATCAAGGCACAAATTCATCTTTCATAAACTTTTTGTGTCTTGGTGTTTAATATATCCACATATCAACGAAAATATGTAATACATGTATCCACAAAAATATACATGTACAGGCTAGGTATTTGCCCACAGCAACACCTGCATAACTGTTTATTCACGCGTGGTGTGGCAGATTGTAATTGACCGACAACAAGTATTGTAGAATCACCTGTAAATAAGGCCGACACTGTAATTAGACACAACGTACTAATGAGAATATGAGAATTATCATAAGAAGGCTGTTACGTTTTTCTTAACTATTACCATTTTCATACCAAAAGTTACAATGCAGTTAAAAGTTGCTTTAGTGTCACAATATTCACTCACGTTTTCCTCAATCGCATTGAAACATAATTCCTACTGGTCAGGTCGACACTGCTTGTAATTAAATAATTATTTCGAGTTTTCGTTAGAATGTAAGATATTCAGCCAAACGTTATGCAATAAAAGACGAATAGTTTCTTTCCATTAAAATACGCGCACGCGTACCTGTCACGTAATTGCCCAGTGTGATGTATCAACGGGTCATAAAATGGGAAATGAAATAGAAACTAACTAAAATTTAATGTTGTACACGCACATGAATTCGTATGATAAACTGCCAAAACGTTTTGAGAGATAAGGCCGGGTTCATTAAAGATGTTGGGTGCGGTTAGGACCAAACTTTTTCAGCTCAGAGTGTTAGTGGTCCTGGAACCCATAGTGTCAAACAGGTTCTGCAAAATACGTCAATCAGATTCTACTGTTCAACAGCATTGTCACTGAATTTCAAAACTCTGGCATGATATAATAATCAAGGATTTCGAAGGCAAAACCTTTTCTCGCCCATGGGCGAAATATTTCAATAAATCTGTAAAATAGCTGAATTGAGTAAAATTGTGTTACATTATGTGCCATGAAAATAGTTAGAACTCCTGCATGTATTTACGAAACAAAAACATAAGTTTTAAGTACAGGAAAATATTCTCGCCCATGGGCCAAACCCTTTTCTCGCCCATGGGCGAAATATTTCAATATCGCTATAAATCGTTGAATTAAGTTAAAATGAGTTAAATTTTGTGTCATGATACTTCAATAAATACATTTAATGTATTTGCGAAACAAAATCATGAGTTTTAAGTACAGGAACATATACTCGCCCATGGGCCAAACCTTTTTCTCGCCCATGGGCGAAATATTTCAATATCGCTATAAAATCGTTGAATTAAGTTAAAAAGAGTTAAATTTTGTGTCATGATACTTAAATGAATACATTAAATGTATTTGCGAAACAAAAACATGAGTTTTAAGTAAAGGAACATATTCTCGCCCATGGGCCTGCCCATGGGCCTACCCATGGGCCTACCAATGGGCCAAACCTTTTTCTCGCCCATGGGCGAAATATTTCAATATCGCTATAAAATCGTTGAATTAAGTTAAAATGAGTTAAATTTTGTGTCATGATACTTCAATAAATACATTTAATGTATTTGCGAAACAAAATCATGAGTTTTAAGTACAGGAACATATTCTCGCCCATGGGCGAAATATTTGAATATCGCTATAAAATCGTTGAATTAAGTTAAAATGAGTTAAATTTTGTGTCATGATACTTCAATAAATACATTTAATGTATTTGCGAAACAAAATCATGAGTTTTAAGTACAGGAACATATTCTCGCCCATTGGCCAAACCTTTTTCTCGCCCATGGGCGAAATATTTCAATATCGCTATAAAATCGTTGAATTAAGTTAAAATGAGTTAAATATTGTGTCATGATACTTGAATGAATACATTAAATGTATTTGCGAATCAAAAACATGAGTTTTAAGTAAAGGAACATATTCTCGCCCATGGGCCTGCCCATGGGCCTACCCATGGGCCAAACCTTTTTCTCGCCCATGGGCGAAATATTTCAATATCGCTATAAAATCGTTGAAATAAGTTAAAATGAGTTAAATTTTGTGTCATGATACTTCAATAAATACATTTAATGTATTTGCGAAACAAAATCATGAGTTTTAAGTACAGGAACATATTCTCGCCCATGGGCCAAACCTTTTTCTCGCCCATGAGCGAAATATTTCAATATCGTTATAAAATCGTTGAATTAAGTTAAAATGAATTACATTTTGTGTCATGATACTTGAATGAATACATTAAATGTATTTGCGAAACAAAAACATGAGTTTTAAGTAAAGGAACATCTTGCCCATGGGCCTGCCCATGGGCCTACCCATGGGCCAGACTTCGCCCATGGGCAGGCCCATGGGCGACATAGTCTAAATATTGAGTTTTTAAACAATTTTTTTTTCATTTTTTCTTCCTTGGTATGTTCCCATGAAAACGGCATGTTTAATTTTGTAAATACCTTTAACCGAGACTGGGCAAAGAGCGTAGAGTTTCTGGACTTTTGGGTTTCCAGAATTAAAATGGGACGTGTTAATGGCAAATAACGTACATTAATAACAAATACAACTGTGACATACATAAAATGTAGAATGTGATCATGTAAAATTACAAATCATTGGCAAATCAATGCATTAAATCTGATGCACTCAATAATATTCTGATTTGTACAACGTAGTATTATGGGTATGACCTATTCCCTACCCAGATCTTCACGGGTATGATAAAATGTGCCCTCGTACGTCATATAATAATATTAAGATGGACATAATTATTATTTGGTGTGTCTATTACAGTGGGAGCATGTGGAGGAAATTCGGCATTGGAAGGTAATAACCCAACTATTTAAATGCGTAATGATACTGATATTTCACCACATTAATGGTAATTGCAAGGCACTTCTGTAACAGAGGCGCTATGGTAATTAGAATTGTGATAAGATCGCTGATTGATGTCAATGAGTAAGATTATTAAGAAGAATCGCCTTCCTTCGCTTTTATCGTAGTTATAACATATTCAAACGTTTATGTACTACCAACATTTGTTGCAGTTGTAGAGATGTGTAAAGGAGGTTCCACCACGGCCCGTCACTTCTACCTACACGGGTCTCCAGCAGGTGATGTACAGCGGTGTGACTGTAGCATGGCTATCACAGGTACAGCATCGTCAGTGTATTTTACACGCGCCCCCTTGACTGACACTACAGCAATCTGTGGAGGAACACTGACACTGCCAAATGGTGCTACAATAGACTGTACACAGACTCCCAGGACAGATATATTTTTGTATCCAGGTACCTGGGTGGTTTCCTTTGCCTGCAAAACTGCAGATGTCAGGAACTGTGTGGAGGTAGAGTTAGCCACAAGCGGTAGGTATACGTATTCACTGCAATAATGTCTGTACATCACATTATATAGATCATAAATGGGACAAGAAGATAAAGAACAAGTGTAAAACAGAGGAAATCATTGCCAGTGCAGTCGTTCCATGTAAGCGAGAGGGAATACCACACGTATTGCTTTAGCGATAAAATGATTTCGTGTTTGGAGGTAGACGCAGGATTTCAATGTCGAGATGATATAAATCTTAACATGCACACACACACTGGGGGTACATGTAATTCACGGAGTTACAGTCAGAATTATTCCCCTTAGGGAAAAGTACATGTGGCGGTGAGAGTGACGACCCCGCCTTTTATTCCTCCTGCACCCAAACTTTTAATGTTATTGATTGCGATAAATGGCGTCCAGTTTGAGTTTTTCATTGTGATAGGATGATACAATTGCACAATAGTCACATATATTTATTCCAGTCTATAATATTCCCGATGAAGAAACACGTGATAACCATGAGCCATCTCTTGTCAGTACAAAAACAAAGGAAGTAATGGTTTATCAATCAGTACAAATGCGACATAATGCGATTGATTGAGTAAGCTGGTTTTAATACAAAAAGAAAGTAATCAGAATGTTAGAATGACACACAAGAACGACAAAAGGTAATTGCTTTGTAACATAAAAATAGAACATTAAGAAAAAGAGAGAAAAAAATCAACTTGGCAGTATATTTTCACTTTTCTTTATAGCATCAAGCCTGTTGATGAAATGTCCAAATAATCAAACAAAGGCACTTCCAACAGTGAAGAGTTCATTTCCACCTGATTCCTCCATCTATGTGTACACCTCTCAACCTTCCTCAGTAACTGCATCTACACGACGATTACCTACGACCACAATAACATATACAGCAAAGTTTACAAAGGTTCCAACAACAACTGTAACAACGACTCAGACATCAATAAGGACATCAACGCTGCCATGGACGTCATCTATCAGTGAGGGTAGCAGAGAGACAGTGCCAGCTGAACAAACGTCTGTCACAGGTAAAACAAATCATCGTGTGATTCGTGGTACTAAACAGTCGGCTTTCTGAGAATGAGATATATAGATGTATGTGAAATCCGAAACTCAGTGAGTGAGTTGGGTTTAACGCCGCTTTTAACAGTATTCCAGTTACACGTCGGCGTGTCAGCCTAATGTGGGAGGAAAGCCCGAAGTGATGCAGGTCTCAGACGTTTACCCCACGAGCACAGGTATGTTGCTGACAAAGCTAGAAACATAATCGGGGCAACCGGGATTCGAACCCACAATCATAGGTTTCTGGCTTGCCCTAGGGACGCAACTCTGCACAGCGAATCGCGGCGCCTTAGACGACTGGAACACCCGTGCCTCCCCGAAACTCAGATTCAAAGAGGCGTACATAATATTAAAGGCCGACCAATCCTTCTTGTATCGCCTCAATGCCGAGCGCCAGACAAAGTAACAAGTACCGTCTTTCAACGTACTTTGGTGTGACCCGTCCAGTATACCCCCATCACACCACACTAGTTCTCAATACGTTCGTAAAACTTTTGTCGAACGGGCTCCAACTGTGTATGAACGTAGTGGACGTTGTAGCAACTATTGACAGTCTTTTTACGAACTTCATGAGTCTGATTGACAACGTACTCAAAACGAGAAAGACGCATTATGAACGGAATTGCCGTACTTCGAACCTACTAGGGACGTGTTACGACGTGGTGCAGTCGGACATACATTTCAGTACCTGTGCACACCGACCGGGACGACTTCTCTTTGGCGGCATGATGTGTACAGCTCGGATTCCTGAACTTGAATCAAGACTGACTACAACGCGCTCGGTATCCATAGGAGTCGGGCCAGGACGCGAATAAACACGCACTTGGGACGAGATGAGGACGTACTGCGAACGAGTTGGTCGGGTTAAGAATTAGTTAGAACTGGTTAAGAACGGGTTCAGAACGGCTACGGACGTGCTCGAACTGCTTCGAAACGTTGTCGGGATGAGGTGAACGGGCACTTTTACACGATCTGAACTGGATACAAACGGACTGCAGACTGGCTACGAACGAGATAGACGTATTGAGGACTGCTTATGAACGAACTAGCATCGTACTGTATGCGAAACTACGCGCTCTGCCGTGATCACAGCCCGTTCTAGTATTGTGTTTAGAACGGAGTAGAACGGGATAGAACTACTTTGGTGTGATGGTAGCATTAGATACGACAGCATGCAAAAGTTGTAAATTGAAGAGAGGAAACTGACATGGTTTCCCGTGACAGCTCTGGGTGTTGATGATGCCCCATTGTAATATTTCAATCTATTGACTATTTGCATTCTACACCATCGCAGAGCAACGATACCAAGTTAGGGCATAAGTATGTTCAGGCATCTAAACACGTTTAAATTATGGGACGAGAAACGGGATTAGCTTTGGGTTTGGGTTCTAAACACATATTTTACAGTTGAGACCAGTTGCGGGTGTCTAAGCTGTGGTTAGTGTTTCACAACGTACTCAGTGTTGCAAGTATCGCAAGGAAACTGACAATGTATCCATCGATATCGATCCATCGATATCAAAGTCATAATGTCAGTAAAACGCCAATATATGGAATATCTGTACGCATCTGAAAGGGATACAAATGCTATCTTACGTATGGTGTTCAATTTCAGGTTCCCTCATTGCCGGATGGGTGATGGTGGCGATCCTTGTTGCTGTCATTATCGTGGTGGTTGTGTTGCTGATAAGGTTCATGATTATCCATATTATTAATAAGTGTTGATCTCAATCAGACTGACTTACTAGTTTCACGTTGTGTTTATTTGATACGTACCGCAACATAACTACTTGTCACGAAACCTCAAATATTACCCCTTGTAATCCCCGCACTAGATTACATATCTGAAAAACTTGGGTTAGATCTTTAAGATTATGTTAAACAACTTTCATATTGTGGTCTAGGGAAACCTGTTGTTGCTATACTCCGGAAAAAAATTGTATTACACAAGTGTGCTTGTCTTTACAGAAAACAAAGGGAGTCCAACTATAAACCTAGAGATACTTGTCAAAAGTCTGTGTCAACTCAAACAGATGGTGGCTCCATCTATGAAGGGTTGGACCGGAGCAATGTGACAACACCTGACACCATGTACGAGCGATTTGAAACACAGCCTACAGAACGTGGAGTGAAGGATTATTACAACATTGAGATGGACGACTATGCTAACCCCTAGTTTTTTCCAAGTGTGACCATGTATTTGGTTAATGTCTGATGAGGTAAACAGTTAAACGTCACTGAGTGCACTGATGTATGTCAGGAGTGTGTATATTATATATTACAGTGCCTAGCGTAGGGTGTAGTCTGCATCAATCTGTCCTCACTAGGTACCTTATAATCAGACTCAGATCACAAGATGACATTTATCATGCATGATACAGACCTTTCTTCTAATTAGTTATATCAAGGTGTTACAAACACATCTTTCGCAGTAAGTGACATACTAGTATTTCATTTGCAGAAAGTGCAAAGCATACAGGTAGTTGTTTTTTTCAGCTGTATGTTCATTTTGAAAACGGGAAGTCACATGAAGCACATGTAAAGCAAGTGGACGTTGTCCGGTGACATTGTTCATGAAAAGGCTCTCACTTCATCAAGTAAAATAGATCGGAGTGACTTCTTGCACACTAGGAGGACTATGTTATCTGATATTTTACAACTTATATGTATAAAGCAACTATATATGTGTGTATGTGTAATTTCTATGTCTATTCAAGCACTATTTCATGCCTGTGGACATCCAGTCATCAGCGGTAACGGCATATGCATTGATTCTAGTGCGTATTATGAACTTGTTTAATAAATAAACAAAAACCCAATTTGACGTCTGCATCATGTCAGCCACAAAACGTGACCATGATTAGTTAGAGGTAAGGTCGTATCGGCTTGGCTGAGTATGATCACGCTATTCTAGAACATATTGAGATGGGTGTCTATGCTAACCCTTAGTTCACCCATTGATAAATTCTGTGACGTGATTGGTTTATTTGCTGCTCACATGACCCGTTCATTTTACAACAAATTTCAAAAAGTGTCGTTACTTTTCATGGGGAAGCCCCGAGTTGAACATTTCTCTGAGCTGTCTCCCTTGCGCCTGAGGATCGGCAATATAGGACAATAAATAAACATTTCTTTTTCACACAAGGTCTCATTAAAACACTTAATTGCATTCCTGTATTCGCATTACCCCCCTTGATGCCACAGGGACATATATGTCCCTCCTCTTCAATCCTCACTTTGATTTGGTTAGTTTGTTGTTTAACGCCGCACTCAGCAATATTTCAGCTATATGACAGCGGTCTGTAAATAATCGAGTCTGGACCAGACAATCCAGTGATTGATATCATGAACATCGATCCACCCAATTGGGATCGATGACATGCATCAACCAAGTCAGCGAGTCTGACCACCCGATCCCGTTAGTCGCGTTTTACGACAAGCATAGTCACCTTTTACGGCAAGCATGGGCTGCTGAAGACCTATTCTACCCCGGAATCTTCTCGGGTCCCTCACTTTGAAGTCGAATTACACGTACATACACAATCTCAGTTTCAAAAATAGCACAGTAGTGGCCACAACTGTATGTTTATTTATTATCAAATCACCAGTGATCACGACGCCGATAAATCTAGTATCGTTTAGAATGTTTGGGAACACTTTCCGCCACATTGGACAATGTTTACAAAATGACAGTCTATGCCGGTTTGGAGGCGCCTATGACATCACGTATATTTAAACACAGCTGCGATACACGCATCCCTGAATTCCTCATACGGTTTAGAATCAAAATGATATTCAATGGTCTTTGTCACCAATACAAACAGTCTAGATAAACTCAAGCGAAATATATTTGGTGTGAAAATGAAAGCTGTTCCCGGAAAACTGCACTTGTTTGAAATGTAAACAATGATTGATTTTTCTCCTTTTTTTGAGAGACCCATTGTTCTATTCGCTGCATACAATGGCGCAATATTTTTAGGATATACATGGCTAGAGTATCGTAGCAAGAATTAGGGAATTAAAATGAACGTTATGTTTAATAGGACAGCGAGGTTGGCAGTGCACATGACAGGCAATATTTAATGTGTCTCTCCGGATTCCTGTGTACAATGGCAAAACTATTTGTTGAGCAAACAAATTGGAAAACACATAATGACGTGCCATTATTTTGACACACGTTTCGAAAGTCACGCGACGCTGTTCACAAACAGTTCAAAACAATTTGCCATATTTTGTTTTTTGTACTTAGGAGACCGGAGAAAAATCTATAAAACATCACGAGAAATATATTGTTTTCCTGTTCATCCGGGAGCGCTACTATTTACAACGTTTTAAAGTTGTGTGACCCTGCATGGCACTAGTCAGGTCTGCATTACTACACTGACTGGACGTTGTATATGGTTCAATCTGTCAATACAGAGATGTTTATGCACATATCAACCATGCAACAAAGACACGTTCTTAGCATGCTACTTTGTTTTTATTCTCCATATTGACACACCCAACATTGATTGACTTCCGATTCACCACTGGGGATTTGAACATAAATGGTAATGTACGTATTCACGTGATCATCGAATAAATCCAAAAGGTTAATCTTGACAATAAAATATGGGAAGACCTAAAGTGTGCTTAATGTGATGCTGATTGCATTATCTATATCCTCTTCTGTTCAATGCAATCGTCACAGGTTGTTCTTTTACCTCATCCTTCAATTAACGTTATTCTCCATCCATGCTGGCGTCGTGATAAGGGTCATATAGCAGTAAAACGTTGTAAATAGTAGCAACCCTGGACGAACAGGACGACAATAGATTACTCGTAATGGTTATTCTCATCATCTTAAGATAGACAACCGGAAGATAAAATTGACTGTAATATTCCTATTACACCCTATTGGCTCAGACATATTGTATTAGTTGTCTGACCGCCTCCGTAGTCTATAGGTAGAGCTTCTGTTCGGCGAGCGAAAGGTCGGGGGTTCGATCCCCGGCCGCGTCATACCAAAAGACGTTAAAAGATGGTGCTTGTAGTTTATGAGTTGTATTCATGTCAAAACTGCGGCATTGTATCTCAGTGGGCTTGCATTATAAAATAGGCATTAGTCACACACACACACACCCGTGCGCGAGTGCGCACGATGCCCATTGAAGTAATCCAGAGCGCGAGGTTAATTAAATCCCATTTAACCTCACCTATTTGTTTTTCAGTTACAATTATGCTGAGTATGTGAAAAAGGTAATGTTGAAGACGAATATCTTCTTGAGATGATCTGTCTGAAATACAATCTTCACTTTATAAATACTTATCTAAACTCTTTGTACAGCTAAGACAGCTTAAGTTACACATGATAACGGCGTTTACTAATGCAAATATAATTACTAAGTTTACAATGTTTGTGTATAAAGTGTATTTGGTTAAGGCCTACATGTATAGCAATACATATGCTGTCCTTTGATATATGTTGCTGACCAACACACTCTGCCAAGTTTGTGAATATGGGCCAATGATCTTCATGAATATAAATTGAAAGCCACACGTTTTTCTGTCACCATAACAACATTATATTAATGAAAAATATCCAAACAAGACGAAGGCAATATATTAATAAGTAATCACTGAAAAATGCACATTGACGATACTAGGTTTTTCCAAAACGAGCCTCCCCAACCTTTAGCGACCGTGGTGGGAGAAGGCGAAAGGCACACTACACATAGTTCTATTCTGCCTAATGATTGATATGAGTCATGTAATAAACTTGGCAGATGAAATCAGTGACAGAGTGGGATAGAAAAATAGTTTTTTTGACATCAGCACAGTGTAGGGACAACTGCTCGTGGAAACCTTTCCCCTCTTCCATTCCTCGGCTGCAGCCTCTGACACCAGCATCACCTTAGTTTCAGGGTAGCGATGTATCCAACGATGTGTTAGATACAAAGTAATTGTCATGACTGTTCGCCACACATCACGATCAACTTGTGTCGTCACGAATGTCCTAGACTATAACTCAGGTCTGGTACATGTGGCAGCATGTGCAGCAGGCCGCGGTATGCTATTTTCAGTGATTATGCAAACCAAGCATGTACACATCAGACAGTATGTAGGATTAGAGAGTAAAGTTAGTTTAGCGCAGTTTACGACTTTGGTGAAACCCGAGGGCATGGGTATGGTGCTGAGAAATCAAGAAACATAAGTCGAATTTGTGATTTGAACCAACGCACAAGGAACACAACTCAACAACAACGAATGTCAGAGTACAATATTTGCTGTCCCACATTTAAATATTGTCTGCTCATGCAGCCCCCTGAATTTACAAGCTTGACAAAATGCACCCCCTAGACTGGTTTGTGTCAGTGTGGGTCACGACGACCGAGAAGAGTGTTTCATCACTCGAGAATACAATATACAAGGACGTTAAACACGACGAGCGATTCAGTGTGGTATTTTCCTGCTTGAGTAATAGGAAACATGATAAGAGAGTTAGTGTTTATCAAATATACTAGTAGATATATAATAGTTTAATAGTAGCTGAATATGTTGTAAGAACGACTAACCGATGATCCTTTTTTTCTTGGTCCGCTCGTTTATGGATGACTTGAGTACATTATATTTGTTTACATTGTCTTGTTAAACACACTATTCATGATCAACTGGCCTTGGGACGTCAACAGGGAATTAGAACAAGAGGCAGTTACTGTATCGCTGGTGTTACATTGTTGTAGCCTGTGAATGAAAGACGAACTTGGATCAAGTATGGCATTTCGACGTATTATGATTTGTTTGTTTCATCTGAGTATGATCAAGGAAGGTAAGGTGAATTCTCTTATTATATTTATAGTTTCTACCGACATGCTGTGAGGTGCTACTGACACGGTGTGCCCCCCCACTTTCCCATCATTGGTAGGGGTATAACAACATACGGATTAAGTGGCGGGTGTTGCCCACTACTTCCTCAGGGGTCTTGATAATGGGCTTATTTCAGTGAAATAAGTGAAATAAGACTTAATACATCAGTTTTCTATCAGTGTTTTAGTACATGTAGATCACAATACTTAACATGTAATATTTATTACCAATTGTGTATGGTTTTATTCTTATATACAGATCACATAATTCTGATCAACCAAAATCCTGTCTTCGGCAATCTTGTCATGGCCAGGCAAGTGGTTGTGCTGCTTCTTGAAAGCAGTAATGATACTATTATTGGTGTTAACTGCATCTCTACATGTACACCCTCTAGTGGAACACTCCCAATAAAAACAAGTTGCTCTCCTCGTCTTAACTCTAAACTTATACCAATCATAAACTATATGTTCGCCACCAAGTACATACTTAACGTAATTGCCATTGCCATAATTGCATAATGTGAGTGTACAGAACTGGTATATTGTTTGTGTCTTCTTCCTTCTCCTACAACAAAAAAATATAAATGACGTTATTTTCTTTTGTCTCTTACAGTGGGAGCATGTGGAGGAAACTCGGCATTGAGAGGTAATAACCCAACGATGTAAATATATACATACAACTCATTACTGATATTTCAACATGCATCATATCAACGGTAATCGCTTGGCCCACTAGTAACCGAGTCGATGTCGTACACATTGTGATAAAGATCGTTTATTGTGTGTCAGTAAGATTATAAAGAACAATCGTCTTACTTCGGTATATATAATCGTTACCATAACATATTGCAATACTAGCATATTTCGTAGTTGTAGAGGATGTGTAAAGAAGGCACAACCACGGCCCGTCACTTCTACCTACACGGGACTCCAGCAGGGGATGTACAGAAGTGTGACTGTAGCCTGACTATCACAGGTGCTGCATCGTCAGTGTATTTTACATCCGTCCCCTTGACTGACACTTGACTCCACAGCAACCCGTGGAGGAACACTGACACTGCCCAATGGTGATACAAGAGGCTGTACACGGACTTCCAGGGTCTATGTATTTTTCTATCCAGGTACCACGACGCTTGCCTTTGCTTACAACACTACCGATGTTAGATGTTGTATGGAGGTAGAGTAAATACCATCAGGTAGGATGTCACTACAACACATAGCACTTAGTACATATTTTGGACTTAATTGAGGTAACAAGATCAATGTCATTGCTGTCGTAACAGAGATAATACCACACGTGTTTTTTATGTCGATAAAATGATTTCGTGAACAGATCAATGAGTGAATGACACCCCACCTTTAGATATGATTGTATCATGATTCAATTAATATTTATACCATCACCAGAATTTAGATGAAATATATCTAAGTGTTTTTCTGGCCTCCACTGCAGATGTCAGGCATTGTGTGGTGGTAAAGTTATTCACTGCAACGATTACAGAACGTGTATACATTGTAGATCATACAGGTGGTAAAGAACAAGACTAGTGTAATACAGAGAGAATCAATGGCATTGCAATCGAAACACGACACAGAGGGAATACATGTATTGTTATGTCGATATAACTATATGGAAAATACACGTACATACACAATCTCAGTATTCACGGTATATATTCAGGCTTTACATTAATATAATCGTCAACATAAATTTTAAGTAACAATCGTATCACCTCTTGTAGTATATTCCTTCCACCTGCAGAAGGATCCATAAGTATCACATGCCCTGGTTGCACAACGAAACCGACACAATCGTCACCAACAACAACAATGACATCGATATCGTCACCTACATCTCCACTACATTCGGATAACATCACTTTCTCTTCCACATCAATATCTAGTGCAACTTCATTTTCTACGTCGACATCTACAATTATGCCGACGTCGACAATGACGTCATCTTCGGAAAACCATCCAACCTCATACGTCACGGAGACTCAATCAGGAACAGATAACAATGACAGAGACTGCACAACAGTGGCAAGTCAGACTCTTTCATCTTTCCCTGGTATGAACATCTCAATCTAACCGACAAATAATAATTACAATTGAAACTACAACCTAGATAATATGTAGAATGTCATGATGTATTATTACAAATCACAACAAAATCAATGCATAATTCAATCTGTGGCATAAATAAATATACTGATTTGTACAAAACTGAAGGATAACGTTTAGGTTAGGCGTATTTGCTGTTTACACAGGAAGACCGACAACCTTATACGATATGTCTATTTTTCGTTGTAAGATCTGATTTGTTACTGAAAGGATGAAGCCAGTCGCAAATATGTATCGGTAAGTGAAAGGCAATTACGAGCATGTGAACCCATTTTTTATTTGATTTTGCAAATCGCCATTCTTGACAATACGATACGAAATCTGTGCGTAACTTTTGCTTTCAAAATTTCAAAAAATTGCTATATGTAATGGAATATATCTATGCCGTTAATCACCTGTTTTTAAACAATGCAGTTGTTCAACAGACAGTAGTTAATCACTTGCTATCCAATATTTGTCTTTCAATAACATAGATAGCCTACGTGTTGTTTTTAAAAGAAAACAAAACACAATTACTTTTTCTAGAAAAATATTTTATATATTCTTCATTCGAATATACTACACAAATATTTGATCACATGTATTTCCTTGTTAAATCAGTAAATATTACACTGTATAGTTAATATTCAATTGTTAAAACCGCTCGTCCCACACCATTTAGATGTAAAACCTGATGATAAACGCTTATGGTTTTGCACTTCATCACACATGTAGATTGAAATAACTTTATAAAATGCAAAAATATAGACTAAAGCATTGCGCATATGCGATCCAGAAAATATAACAGCGGAACTCTGCGCTTTATGAAAACTGTAACATTGAGCAAGGCCTAGACGGTCGAATATAAAGGGAAACCACTCTCAGGTAGAGTATGAACTAATTAGCTTCTCCTGAGTTATCTATAAGGTCACGGTCATTACTATAGCCTGCCGACACCTTCCGTTTTTATCCTTCCAAAATTATCGAAAAGGTATGTTGTTTCACACTTCTTCAGCATGGTCTCGGAAAGAAATATATTGTAAGCTATCGACTCCATAGTTATGTGGATCGCTGTCGCGATTAAGAACATTTCTGACTTGAAATCTTCGATGCGTTCTTCGTGTTTTCGAAGTGTCTATTTGAATCACACAGTTTAACAAAATGAAATGTCAATGTTTGAGCGTAAAGCAGACTAATTGTTCGACAAAATATCTATGGCAAAGAATGCTGCCATCTTGGACGAAGACAAAATAAATTTACGACAGGTTTTGGGCTATCTTAGATTTACGACAATCTTAAGATATCTTAGAGCTACGATAGTTTCTAAAATACGCTACGATAGCCTACGATTTCCTTACGATAGCTTTACGATAATTTTAGGGCTACGATCGTTTCAAAAATCTAGGCCATGGACCGCATTCTCAGTGTCACATAACTCTGACAGAAACTGGCAAATTTATCCATGGGACATTGTTGATAAAATCTAATTGTCAATAAAACACCAATAAGGACATCGCGTCAGTATTTGCAAAAGTGGTTTCCCATTATAAAATCGAAACACATATAAATGTTCTTTTACGTGTGGTGTTCAGTTTCAGGTTCCTTCATTGCCGGATGGGTGATAGTTGCGATCCTTGTTGCTGTCATTGTTGTGATGGCTGTCTTACTGATAAGGTACATGATTATCGATATCATTAATAAGTGTTGATCTCAATTAGACTGACTTGCTAGGTTCACTTTATGTCACACTAATATTACAATAGTTGCCTTCAATGTGTTGTTCGTTAAGTGAATACCACAACACGAACGGACATGTCACAGAGGACCTCAAAATGTTGTCCCTTTTAATGCCGGCACGTCCACTACAGTGCACGTATCTGAATAATATGGGTTAGATGGAAGATCATGTTAAATAACTTTCATACGGTGGTCTTGAGAGTGACATCATTGTCAAGCACTGGATATCGCCGGTGCCGTACACGTGTTCTTGTCTTTACAGAAAACAAAGACAGTCTAACTATGAACATAGAGATACTTGTCAACAGTCTGTGTCAGCACAAACAGATGGTGGCTCCATCTATGAAGGGTTGGACAGGAGCAATGTGACCACACCTGACACCATGTACGAACGACTTTAAACACAACCTGCAGAACGTGGAGTGAAGGATTATTACAACATTGAGATGGACGACTATGCTAACCCCTAGTTTTTTTCCAATTGTGACCATGTATTTGGTTAATGTATGATGAGGTAAACAGTTAAACGACACTGAGTGCACTGATGTATGTCAGGAGTGTGTATATTATATATTACAGTGCCTAGCGTAGGGTGTAGTCTGCATCAATCTGTCCTCACTAGGTACCTTATAATCAGACTCAAATCACACGATGACACCATCTCTCTATGTCTACATGGAACTATGACAGGACACCAAGGCTGGTAGTGCACATGTTAGGACATATATATTGATATCGGTGTCTCTCGGCAAACGTGTGTGTGTGTAATTGCAATTTACAATGAAAAAAACTAAATATTTGTTGAAGAGTGAGTATGGTTTTACGCCGCTTTTAGCAATATTCCTGCAATATCACGGCGGGGGACACCAGAAATTGGCTTCACACATTGTACCCATGTCGGGGATCGAACCCGGGTTTTCAGCGTGACTAGAGACCCGACCGCCCCTATTTGTTGAAGAAACAAATGACAAACAACATGTTAAGTAACATCAGTCTGACACACATTTCGAAATTCACGTGACACTGTTGACAAATTGTTCAACACCATCTATCTTATGTGACATAAGGAAACCAGAGAAAACTCTCTGAGATCATTATGAATGAGTGTGTTCCTGTCGTCTGGTGGTGCTGCTACTTACAACGTTCTACAGCTGAGTGGTTCTGACCCGCACTACTCCTCCCTGTATTACTCCATTGTCTAAATGCTGCATAAAGTTCAATCTGTCAATACAGAAAAGTTTATGCATCTTATGCATCTACGCAACAAAGACAGGTTCTTAGCTCGCTATTGGTTATTCACATCGCCATATTGACACACCCAACATTGATGGATTGACTTCCGATTCATCGCTTTGGATTTGAAAGGAAATAGAAATATACGTGATCATCCAAACTAACACGCGTACACATACTATATGCACATATTTCATAATATCGCCCAGAAGATATTTCTTGAAAATAAAACACGGGACGACTTGAGGCGTGCTAAAAGTATAGCTGATTTCAAGGAACTTAAGGGCGACGAGCTAGCCAAAGTGATATTTATCCGCTTGAGTAATAGACCGCAAGAAACGCCACAAGCAGTGTTATTTTTAGAACACAAAATGTTTATTAAATATGTTAGAAATAGATTTGGTTGCATCGCCAGTGACGTGTACATTCATCAAGCCATTGAGAAACATAAACAATTATGAAATTATATCTTCTTGTTTTTAATAACACAAAATTAATACACTATCACTTTAAGGAAATCTTTACCGTGATACTGTATCGCAGTGATGACTCTAGAAGATGTCCCCAAGAGATGAAGATCCGTGTTCGCAAACCTTCATTGTCTTAGGACTACAGCAACCCATGTTTGTCGTAAGAGGAGACTAAAGGGATCGGGTGGTCGGGCTCGCTGACCTGGTTGATGCACGTCATGCGAAGATCGATGTTTATGGATCAGACGCGATTAATTAAAGAGCACTGTCATACAGATGGAATGTTGCTGAGTGCGGCGTTAAAAAACAAATAGACAAACATTTGATCTATATGTGTAATTAAACCATCTTCTCAGTGATCCCTGAATTCGACCTTTTAACCTACTGAATATATTAGGTGAGGTGAGGTGAAATTGGGTTTAACGTCGCGTCCAAGATTATTGCACTTATATAGCGACGTGCATGCACGTGTGTGTGTGGCTGCGTGTACTAGTCCGGACTGATGCCGATTTATAGCGCTAACACACTGAGATACCATGCCGAAGTTTAACATGAATACCCCACTCAGACACAGTATACCGACTCCGAGCCGACCAGTCCTTGTTTTAGCCCCTTAATGCCGAGCGCCAGACAGGGTAACAACAAGTACCATCTTTTAACGTCTTTTGGTATGACGCGGCCGGGGATCGAACCCCGGACCTTCCGCTCTCCGGGCGGACGCTCTACCACTAGACCACACTGAATATATTAGACTCAACGAGTGCTACTTCCCTAAATATTTCCGCTATAACCAAAGAGTTTGCTTTGTCATTGTCATGGTAAAATGAAGATAAACCTGGTGTGTTTTCAATGAAGAGGTTTCCAGCTTCGATTAATACTTGTCATTTTCCAAATCCGAAAACTCAAGTTCGGTATCCATACACATGTTTATGCATATCATGCACGGTGTATCATTGAGTCTTCATATTCACATATATACGTACACTCCTTGATATTTACATTACACTCGACAAGCATTTACGACAATCACCAGTACACAGAATTGGTTGTATCATTCAAATATAAACAAACCCTAGCATCCCAAAATTAATGTTCGCGTGGCGAACACTGTACGAAATACATTCAAATACCCCGAGCGCTATACGGAGATATTCTACACATGTACGCCAATGACAATGACGGTTGGCTGGCAGGTACAGTAATTTCCAAGTCTGTGGTTGCAAAGCGTTTATTTTTAAGAAGGATGGCAATGTAAAATCGTGCATTTACATGAACATAACGTGAAATTATGACTACAGCAGAATGTTCAGGAAATCAGGAACTGAATTAACCTGCCGCTTGAGTCAAATGTAGCGTATTTTGTTCACATGTTACAGAGACTTATTTTCAGTGTGATAGATTAGATTGATATTTTTCCTGCAACAGGGCATTCATATGGGTGAATTAGTGAATTAGTCAAGTCACAGTCAGTTGTGACGCGACATATATGTAACATCACAATAAACAAATAACATTAAAATATACCTGCAGTGACGGCAACTGTAATATTTGATATCTTGATTAAATGATTAACGAATATACAAAATCACAAATTAGACTTGTTGTGATAACTAATTTGCGAGTACTTCATAATAGTAAACACAATTTCACGAGATTATTATCATTATTCATAAGAAGAAAGAGTTACACATTAGTTTACAGTGTCAATCCAGAAGACATGGTCGATCAAAAAGCGATGCAAACAAAGAGAATAAGTTGCAAGAGAAACCTCTAATAAATACATATGGAAAGGTTACATGTTTTGTTTGTTATGTTTATGGTGTGAACAACGAATAATACTTTTAATGGCGTTCTAAATCTTCAAATATACAGGTAAATTGTAAGGCATGGTTGCCAAAGGCCAGTACAGCGTTGTGACGATGGAAATGCTGAAATAAATGCCGTCGGTGAACGTAAAAACCATTGTGTGTTGACTTGAAACTGAATACGCCCATATGCATAGCCTTTGCATTTCCGGGTGACTGGCTTATTATGTCAGTGTATTATATATCCCCGGTGACACATGGTATCTTCGTAAAACTGGCTTGTACACACACACACACACAAACACACACACAAACACACACACACACACACACACACACACACACACACACACACACACACACACACACACACACACACACACACACACACCCACACACACACACACACACACACACACACACACACAATGGAGTAGATGAAAATAGTTATATACATGTTTGTCACGTCAACAAACCGTGTCCTCGTTCAGTTGTGGCTTGGATAGTTTCCATACATGTTAAGCTTGGTTTGTTTACCTGATAGCTATGATCATATGGAATAATAAAAACTAATGCGTTGTCGCCCAACGCACTTTGACAGAAACATACAGCACACTCGTTTTATTGCTTTCTCAATTGATGCCGGTCTCCAACAATTTTACAAATCGATAATTGGCCCAGTCATTAGGCGGCGCAATTCCTTGTGCAGATCTAGAGTTGTCGGGTTATAATTATCGATAATTTTCAAAATAGATGTTCGTCACATCCCTCGGAAATTCGACCTTGTATATTTGAAATAGGATGATAGATACTGTTTAGACTGTATTACATTCAATTTGAATTTAAATAATATCAAAATGTACTTGCTACCAAACCATGTGAGTCAGTTTTATATCCAATAAAACACAAATGTCATAATTACGTATATGGGTTAAGGGGCATCAGTTATTTGAGGGTTGATGAACTAGTATTTTTATATATATATATATATATATATATATATATATATATATATATATATATATATATATATATATAGATATATATATCAAAATCATTATTGTGAAATCGATTCTTATTTACCAAGCTCTATTAGCGTCGTTTTGTCAAAAGGGGTATTATGATTGAGTGAATATTGGTTAACGCCGCTTTGAAAAGTATTTCAAACATTTCATTTCTTGTCCGCTTCATGTGGGAGGAACGTCCGAATAACAGTAAGACATTGTTTCCGTTTAAGTAATGGAAATAGTTGTGTCGGGAGAATCTATATCAACATACAAACGGAGAATTGAATAACCTGAGCTTGTAAGCAGGGTATATTCCGCTTCACGTAAGGGACACATAGGCTGGATGTTCAGATAGAATTATTTCAATGTGTTTTGTTGGCAATTGTTCAGTTTTATAGTCGATGTAATACAGAAGCGTTCAGTGTATATGCATGTATACAATATGTGTTACAATAGCGGGATGAAGGGGATATAAACAGTTGAATGTATCTTTACAAAATTTTACAAAATTACAAAATACCAAAACTAATTTCGTTGAAATATACCAGTGACAAATATTATTAGATAAATATTTTTCCTATACGGGCAACAGTGACATTAAGTTAATTCAGAGTCAGTTGAGACCTGATCACGATAAACAAGTTGTTTGACATCAAATTAATGTATTGTGCCATAATGTAGGTACAGGCAACCTACAAGAACGGGATTGTACGAGACGGCAACTCCTCAATTTGAGTGTCAAACTCAATGATAAACGGATACACAAAACCTGAAAAATATGCATGCAATGACAATATATATTTTTAATAGGACATTTACGAATATTTGATAATATTTAATTATTACACATGGTCATAAATGTAAAGTAAACTATAACGCATGCCACTATGCAAAGGTGGTTAGCTTGTCAATTAGGTCCTAATACAACATGCTGATGGAAAAAACAAACATAATGTATTTTGAGCTTTGTTATGAACACCGAGTGCGTCAGCAATATTCCAGCAATATCACGTCGGGGGAAACCAGAAATGGGCTTCACACATTGTACCTATATGGGGAATGGAACCCGGCTCTTCGGCGAAAGCTTTAACCACTTGGCTATCCAACCGCCATTATGAAAAACGAACAACAGTGTCAATGATATACTTAATCTTCAATTTTACAGGACAGGTAAACGATCAGAAATAAAACATCGCTACCATAAGTGGCAATGTCGGCAATCGCATTGCTAGCATATTTGTGTTCGGTAAATATAAAGGCATTGTTTGTCTTGTTCGCTTGAAACTATACACAGCGCTTATATAGCCGTGACATTTCCGGGTGACTTGGTAACGTCAGTGTAATATACCCCACGCTATCTCTGTGTAAGGCTGGTCTGTACGTAACCCACAAACAAGGAAGTAGATGAAGATAGTGGGTACATCACAGCCATAAGGTCGTATGCGTTGTATTCCAGAACAGATGTGTGGCAAGGATGATCTCTCTACATATCACACTTGGATTGTGTCACCTTATGTTTGTGATCAAAACAGGTAATGTGACCTATCTTTCTTTTATATCTGTATCAGTATCATGCGAGATGTTGAAGGGATATAAATAATGTTGTGAAAAGTAGAGCAAGCAAATTCACTCATGTTTATCAAACTAAGCATTAATACAGGATGTAAAACGCACTGAGATTCATCAAATGTAAGCGTCTTGGAGGTGTATTACGTCATTGTTCATTAATTTTGTTGTTGTTTGATACCCTTGATTAGAAGAGATCCGTTGGTTGCTGGGTCTCGATTGGTAAGTCTACGGTGAAGGTTGCATCTGGGCCCACTTGCACAAAGCGATCTTAGCGCTAAAATGATCGTAACTCCCATACTTTAACATAGGCTTACAATAGCCGTAGCGCTAAGATCGCTTTGTGCAAGTGGGCCCTGGTCTCTGCCCGTGTTCAATGACATGCCTATTAAGTCACACTGAACCACCGTCATGTATGTTATCACATCTTATAGCTAAAATGGATAGATAAAGAATACTAAACGAGCTCCCATGTAATACCAATTTTATGAAACGAGTGAATAGCTCTGGTATCTGACGAGCGAAAGCGAGTCAGATAGCACAACTATTCACGAGTTTCATAAAATTGGTTTTACACGGGAGCGAGTTTAGTATTTTATTTATTACTTGCCATTTACAACGTTTTTAGATTTATACTGTTGAGTATGAATAGGCTAGCTGACACCTACACGATCCACGGCATAGTCCAATTGAGTTTAACAGAATAATACTTCAAACACGTCAAAAGTTGAAAGGTATGAATTTAATACCATACAACGGTCCACCTTTAGAATTCACAAAATTATCGTAGGGCTTAGACTATCGCAACTCACATACTTTAACTTAGACTAACGACGGTCGTTGCGCTACAATACGATCGCCTTGTGGAACGGGCCTTGTACCTCAAACTTTACAATAACGTCACAATACCCGATGACGTAATTTGTGGAATGTTGTTGCAAGACCCATCGGCGAAACAATGCCATGTGACGTCAGCCTAGCAACAAGGTTGCTGGGGTCATCGAGTGTGCATAGGCTCCTCTCAGTGATCTATCAACTCCACACGCAATGTCTTTGAATAAGCCAAGAGATGTTGAGAGCTTTCAATATTTGTTCGTGAAACGTGTTCCGATAGTACACAAGCACGCGTTTTGGTATTACACAATGTGTAATACAGCTGTATGTTTATTAGACGGGTGATCTCTTCACGGGCAAGTAATAAAATTATCATTAAACCGCCCGCATGTTATGAAAAATGAGCGGGCCACTGTAACTTGATAATGCCCTCATATTGCTTGACGACGGGCCATTATCACACTCGTTGTTAGGTGACGTCATAGGATAGGGATAGATGACGTCACATTCAATAGTGACGTCATTTGGTTTGTTCTATGACGTTTCCATATTTGTAAAAGCGGGTCAGTGACATTCGTGTTGATTGAAGTAAATGTTTCAAAACCGATATTGTTGTTTCTTTCTATTTGATAACAAATTCCATCCATTTTAGCTGTAATAACGGTAACGCTATTTTTCTCTATCATTTCAACTGGCCTCCTTCGTCGGGAAGTTAATGGAAGACCTCGGGCTTCTGCAAATGGTAATGCCCTGAAAAATAGCCATTCGCCCATATACAAACACACATGTTTATCAGCTTAAATTTGTTAGAAACAGCATAAAGGTGGCTAAGAGTCATAGTTCTGAGTGAGGGCGGGTGGGGAGTCGTCGGGTAGACATCATATTCAACATGTTACTGTATAAAGTTGCATAAGAATGATGTAAAATTTGATTTTGAGTTGTTTTTAACATGGAAAAAGCGTATATTTTACAGATGTTTTGTTTCAGATTTTTTAGAAGTTTTCTTTGGCAGGCCCTAATATGCTGAAGTTTCCCTGACATCCTCAAACATATTACATGTTACCACCCAAAGTATCAACTTTTAGTAGATATGAGTTACGAAAGCAGAATAATCTGAATTCGCCGCAATGCACGAACAGTCACATACCAACAATCATTTATACCTTCTTCAATCAAATTATGGAATGAGTTACCCCCTGAATACAGAAGTGCAACATCATAATCAAATTTTAAACACATGATTAAAACAACCATTACAGCTCCACCTCCATACTTCTCAATCGGCAACCGTAGAGCTAATATTTTACATACACGCCTAAGGCATTCTTGCAGTTCCCTAAATGCAGACCTCTTTAAAGTAAATTTATCTGATACTTTGTCCTGCTCTTGTGGAAACCCATGTGAAAACAACATACACTTTTTTCTTGAATGTCCCAATTAATCTATTCCCAGAAAGATCATGTTCGCTAACATTATAAAAGCTGGAACTACATGTACAATACAAAATATTCTCTACGGTGATGTATCCCTATCTGAAAGTCACAATAACCTCATCTTCAACAGCGTTCAAAAATATATACTGTCGACTAATAGATTCGAGTAACCCTTTATCATTAATACAGAATATCGCTCTGCGACCATTTATTATTAATTACGCCATCAGTGAATAAACTGCATGCATGTATATGAATACATGTGTATCTCTGCCTCCTTCTGTAAACATAATGTTTACGGGTATACATATCCTGGTGTATGTGTGTAAATATGTGTATGTATATATATGTATGCATGCGTATTCAAGGGTATATGTGTATGTATGTACATGTAGTGTGTGTAGGAATGCATATGTGTACATGTACATAAGTGTATGTATGATTGTGTAATTATATTATGTAGTTTTGCATGTATTTTGGATTAATGTGTACATACAAGTAAACTGTGTCTATAGACAATTCTTATGCATGACTGTCTATGTTACTCTTGCAAACATTATGTTTATGTTCTTGTGTAAATATATTTCTCTTTGTTACTTCTCTTTGTAATAAGTGTATATGTATCTGAGTATGTGTATGTATGTATGTATGAGTATGTATGATTGTGTGTATATATGATTATGTGTATATGTTTGTATTTCTGTATACGTATGTATATGTATGTGTGTATGTATATGTGTATATATATGTATAATCAATGTCTGTACATATAGAGTAGGGAAAGGGCCACCTGAGTTGGATAACTTTTGCCCAATCCCATTGACCATATATGTCAATAAAATATGTTTAATACAAACAAACAAGCATATTATCGATAATCGAAATGGAAAAGTGATTCCAGAAATACATACAACGGAAATTGTCTACTTGCGTGCATCGTTTGATATTTAAATATAAAATCTCACTACGGTTAACTGAAACATTACCGATAAGCTTCAATGTTTGTTTCGTGTAATTGTTACAGGGATGTGAAGACAAATACCCCTGGGCCTCGGTCTTTTGACATAGTTGCTCGGTGCATCCGGACTTCAACCGATAAACAAAGGGAATATTATTATATTGGCCATGTCACATTGTATATTTATAACATAAACGTTTTTTTCTGTTTAGGGAGCTCCTGTGGGGGAAACTCTGCATTGGAAGGTAAGAAAACACACCTCTACTTATACATATCAGTGATTACATATGTAGAAATTACACCGGGAACAGGATGAAACAATCAGTACGTTTATTCGCCTTAGAGTATTATATAAGTCTGCAGTGCAATCAATAGACCCATCTGACAATAACATACACACAGACACAATCGGCTTAGCCCTCTGTAACACGTCATCCCTCTCACAACCTTTACCCAAAATTAACTCCCCGACTATGTCACACAATTAGATCACAATCTCACAGAATCTATATACATATACAACATAGATTGTAACAAATGCAAGGATACCAAGTTGACAAATCTCGAGCGTCAAAAGAAACGGGAAGCAATATTGTGAAAAATACGAAGGGAGATAACTCCGCCATGGCATAACGTATAGGCCACTAGAAAATATGGTCTGAAATATAACTTTACATCAACATAACCTCACACAAATAAACTAATGTCCGAATGGCATTAGAATGTTGATATTGCAAGAAAATAGAACAAAATTGAATGAAGCCAGTTCAACATGTAGTGTCTTGTCAGTTTTGTAGACACACTCATGTCAACAGGAAATGTTTATCTTGGACGTCAGTTAATATAATTATAGAGATTTGGATCACTTAACTGCATTTTTACTACTGCCCTTGAATATGACTATTTTGCAGTTGTAGAGATGTGCAGTGGAGGTTCATCCACAGCCCGTCACTTCTACCTACACGGGTCTCCAGCAGGTGATGTACAGCGGTGTGACTGTAACCTGACTATCACAAATGCGTCAGGGTCAGTGAATATTAAACCCGTTCCCCTGACTGACAAAACAGCAACCCGTGGAGGAACACTGACACTGCCCGATGGCGTAACAGAAGACTGTACACGGACTTCCAGGGTAGTTAAATTTATATATCCAGGTACCACGACGCTTGCCTTTGCCTACAACACTACAGATGTTAGATGTTGTGTTGAGGTAGAGTTACAACCATCAGGTAGGTAGTCACTACAACACTCGTAGTACATGTATAGATCATAAAAAATATAGTACAAGTGTACAACAGAGAGAATCAATGTCATTACAGTCGAAACAGAGATAACACCACACGTGTTTTATGTCGATAAAATTAGTTCGTTTTCGTGGACAGATCAGTGTGAGAATTGCAGCTCACATCTCCATATGATTATCACATAAATGTCAGGTCAAATATAGGTTAAACACGCGTACCTACACAATTTCAAGTTTACAATTATTTGCCGTTTACATTCGCACCCGTCCTTTCTTGAACATAATCATTGACACAAATTACAATATTCGTCATGTCTATATTGTGACATCACATGAAATAATGACATAACCTTGCAGTATATTCCTTTCATCTGCAGAAGGCAACATAGCTATAACATGCCCTAACTCTACGACAACACAGACACAATCATCGCCGACAACAACTACAACGGCATCTGAAAGGACACCATCAGCATCAGCGTCAACATCAATTTCGTCACCAACCACTACAACAATGGTACAATCGCCGCAACCATCAACTACAATAACATCGATATCGTCACCAACAACAACAACAACGGTACCAATCACGACCACTACAACGAAAACTACAACAAGAACATCACTACATACCGATGAAATCGTTTTTTCTTCCACATTGACACCTAGCGCAACTACGCATTTGTCTACGTCGACATCTACAAATGCACCAAGGTCTACCCTGACGTCGACAATGACGCCATCGTTTGAAAACCGATCAACATCGTATGCCACACAGACTCAATCAGCAACTGATAACAGTAAAAGGGACAGCACGACAGTGGCAAGTCAGGCCGTTTCATCTTTCCCTGGTATGGGCATATTAAATGAACTGACAAATAACGTATATTTAAAACAAATATACTAAGAAATATAGAAAAAATGTTGAACGCCATTATGTATTACTACAAATCATAACCAAATCAATGCATTAAATCTGTTATATTTAATAATATTCTGATTTATACATTGTCAATATTGATACAGTTTCGGTTAGGTGGATTTGCTATTTACATTAGAAGACAGGTAACTTTATACACTACCCTACATATATGTCTTATTTGGGGCGTGCATAAAAGTTAACTTTTGTTTGGAATACATGCTTTTCTGTAGCAGTTGCGTTTTTGTGACTTGATTCCATACATGTACTACAATGTTGAAAATCAAACTTTACTTGTTTGAAAAATACACTAAAATATTGGTGTCACAGGAACTTTTGTTGTTAAGTATACATATTATTCGTAATCAGATCAGTTAAGCGACATCCATATCAACGGCGAAATAAAATGAAGTAAATAGAAATCTAATGTGGGGAAGATGTTCATGATCGAAAAATGTCTCACCCGACGCCTTTCGTGAGTTTAAAATAGTCAAAGCAACGGTTAAAAGTATAGACCATCGTCTCAGGCGCCTTGGTGAGATATAAGTGTTAATGAATCAGGTCGTAGTTAATCCATCAAATGTCACAGCACACGCAACAATGATCAACAACACAAACATATTTTGCTTATTCAACCTGACAATCCCCATGCTGTCATTGGTTTGTAAGTAAAACCTTGTTCGTTACGATCCAGCTATTAAGCACTGGCGTGTTCATGTCAGTAAAATGGACAATCATGATCTAATTGCGTAAACACGTCTGAAATGAGTCGTCAAGTTTATATATATGCCTAACAGTAAAAACTACAATGTTGCGTGTTTCAGTCGCTGCTGTTGCCGGTGGTGTTGGTGCTGGTCTCCTGATTCTCCTTGTCGTAGTCGTTGTAGTGTTGTGTCACTGCAGGTAAGTTAGTGGTTGTATTAAAGGCAGTGTTGAACCACAGTAAGGTTAGTGATTGTATTAAAGGCAGTTTGTCTCCGCGGGTAGGTTGATGGTTGTATTTAAGACAGTGTTTCACCGTAGGTAGGTTGTAGGGTATTTTAGGCAGTATTTAACTGCAAGTAGATTAGTGGTTGTATTAAAGTCAGTGTTTCACCGCATGTAGATTGTGGTTGTATCAAAGGCAGTGTCACTGCAAGTAGGTTAGGGGTTGTATTAAAGGCAGTGTTCCACCGTAAGTAGGGTTGTGGTTGTATTAAAGGCAGTGTTTCACTGCAAGTAGGGTTGTGGTTGTATTTAAGGCAGTGTTTCACTGCAAGTAGGGTTGAGATTGTATTAAAGGCAGTATGTCACCGCAGGTAAGTCAATAGTTGTATGAAGGGCAGTGTGTCACTGCAAGTAGGTTGTGGTTGTATTATAGGTAGTGTTTCACCGCAGGTAGGTTGTGGATTGTATCAAATGCAGTGTTTCACGGCAGGTAGGTTGTGGTTGAATGTATTACATGCAGTGTTTCATTGCAAGAGATTGGTGTTTGTATTAAAGGCAGTGTGTCACCGCAAATAGGTTAGTGGTTGTATTAAGAGCAGTGTTTCACGGCAGGTAGTTTAGTGGTTGCGTTAAACGCAGTGTTTTACTGCTAGTAGGTTGCTGTTGTATTAATGGCAGTGTGTCATGCCATTAAAATGAGTTTTCACATGTCCGTATTGGAACTTATTTTATAAATTGTATTAATGGCAGGTGCTGTAAGTAAAGCCTGACATGTTTACCCTTTTTGCTTACACCTGGTATCATCACAGATTTTCAGTTATCCATTCATATAACGTTCCTCAGTCAAGTTTACCTTTCACGCGTTAAGGTATCTCTTCAGAGATATTCGAGACTGATTCTCTAATGTTGAGATTTTGAATTCACTCTGTTACATTGCAGGGAATGCATTTCGTTTGTAATGTCAGAAAGCAAAATATTTTGGCTCCTAGTATTAATTAAAAACATGTATAGTTTTTGTATCTTAAGGTGAAGAAAATTTCAATTGCCTCCAAACAAAATCTCAGCATATCCAAGAACCCCCCCCCCCCCCCTCCCCGCTCCAAGCGAGCCCCCCCCCCCTACACACGCACGCACACACACACACACACACACACACACACGCACGCACGCACGCACGCACGCACGCACGCACGCACACACACACACACACACACACACACACACACACACACACACACACTCCCAACATTAAGAATATCAAAAGATCGGTCCCTCAGACATTGTATTTTAGAAGTTAGCATTATTGACAAGTGCCAAATTTATAAATATGCACCTTCGACTAAACTGTCACCATGAAATTGGTATTACATGTTCTTATGTTCACGGCAGTATTAGTATGCAATGTTGTAATTTCACTCAGGGGTCGTCATGTTGACAAACAAGAAGAATTGAAAGGTCCGACCAGCGTCATCACAGTTACAAACAGTCTATACGAATCCTCAGCAGCGATCAATTACACACATCCAACAAAACCACTAGCCATTGCTGAGCAGCAGGACAACACCCCAGTGGTTGAAGACCAAATTTCTCTGGGCCTGACATCTGATGACCAAGGCGGAACACCCGGTATTGCTGACCACCATGACGGAACACCTAGAATAGCTAAACAACACGACGAAACACCTGCTATTGATGAACACCGAGACGGGACAACTGACATGTACGCCCTTGTCAACAAGCCAAAGCCGTCGTCAGAAGCTACAACCACTACGGAACAACCAGTTCACACTGCCCCTAAAAAGCCTCTTCCCTACGTTGATTCTGACCTTTCAAAAGCCACCAAGACAATATCGCCTCCTCCGATTGGGGAAAATGATATATATGCAAAAGTTGACAAGTCATCCCTGAAAAATAAGCTATAGATTTGTTGATTGTTGTAATTTAGTTTTTTTCGAAAAAACAACAAATTATCAAATAACAAACATGTGACCATGTAACGTGAGAAAGATCATGAAGATGAACAAGTTCCATTTCTAAATCATGTGACAAATTTCAAGGTCGACTGTCGGTCTATGTTCACGGAATTGAAAATGTTTCTTATATGTGATACGCATAAACTCTGCAAGTATAATCCTCCCCTAAATGTATGATTACAAATCTGAATCCATGTTGCAGGTTAGATAGATATTGGCATTGATAATCCATCAGCAGCTTAACTTTCATAACTTTCTGGATGACCTTTAGATTAATAATTTTTATTTATTTTATTTTTTATTAATTTGTAATATTCACTATTTTACCCGCTACTGTCACCACTAATATCACATAAACATGTATAAACATTCTTAATAGATTCAACACACTATACGTTTTGTTTGTTTGTTGTTTAGCGCTTAACTCAGCTATATTACAGCTACATGAATGCGGTATGTAAATAATCGAATCTTGACCAGACAATCCAGTGATTATATGTAATATGGAAAATGAAGTGCAAGTATAAACATGTACGTTGTATTGTAATGGAAGGTTCAAATAAAAACATTGTTAAATGTATAAACATTGTCGAACTTAACATTTGTCTGCCCATCCTGTATATATGTCTTATGAAAGGAAGCACAACAGGGTTAGGGTAGCTCGAGCGACCAAGTCATCTAAGCTGCTTCCTTCAGTCTCGCAAGAAACCTATGATTTTGGGTTCGAATCCCGCTTCGCACTAATTCCAGGTTCATTCGCACTATGCTATTTCTCATGATACGTCATGATGTAACTAAAATTGTGTTCAAAGCGGCGTTAAACCAAAGTCCTTCGCTTACCATGCAAGTAATTCGTAATGAACCAAACGTCGATGACGAAGACATTCAAAATGCTATATACTGGTACATTACAAGCGTGTATCAGATATATTAAAGTTCAGAACTACAGAACAGCATCATTGTACATCTTGAAATTTAATAAGTACCTCTGAGACATACACGATTTAGAAATAGTGGCCAAAGAGGATTGTTTTAGATTTTTGTTTAGTTGACGACCCGATGATTGGACTACGGAGACAAATTGACCTATTACATCACTTAGTTTTGCAAATTATCGGTTCTTCAGGTTATTAGGCGAAAATAGCAAATTTGGATTTTTCAACGAGATCGAACTCTGCGACGTAATGAAGAAATGGTTCTTGGATGGTAATCCTATCAAGATCTCTTACTACAATGTTTAAGTATATCATTTTCACAAACACCTTTAAGGACCAAATGTATTGATACATGTACACCAGACGTCAAAGCTAATAAGGCACTACTTGCTGTAAACGAAATGCAATTTAGGTCTGCTAATATATCAGTTAATATACTGTTTAAACTCTTCGATATTTGTTCTTTATTGTGTCCAAAATTGGGGATACTCTCTTCGACAGTTTGTTGAATCATACAATTTGTTTTTGTAAATTTGTTTTCTCATTAGCACGGTGTTGCAAAAACTTTATCCAGTACAGTAATGCTGGGCAATATGGGTGATGCATAGTGTTTCTTTAAATATCGTTAAACAACGTTCTCGGCATTGAATGTATCATGTAAAAATGTGTGAATCATATTATCAAATCAAATCATTATCTGGTGTAGAATATTATGTAACCGGTATAGAAAGTGAATATTTTACACGCTTTCTTTGTTATTTAATAGTTTGTGAATCATTGTAACTCATGAAGACGATTTGGTATTGATTATGCATATGCTTGATTGATTTGTAAAAGGTATAATTATGGTTGCATTAAAGATGCATACATTTCTTATTCACTTTGTCATAACAGTTAACATGTCATTTCGTTAGACATAGGCCACAGCCACTGATTCCAAATGCTGAATATCAGCATTATCTATTTCGTGTTGTATATTCCCGTTCTCCAACAGACCATCTTCATGTTTCAGACCGCCTCCGTGGTCTAGTGGTAGAGCGTCCGCCCGGAGAGCGGAAGGTCCGGGGTTCGATCCCCGGCCGCGTCATACCAAAAGACGTTAAAAGATGGTACTTATCGTTACCCTGTCTGGCGCTCGGCATTAAAGGGCTAAAGCAAGGACTGGTCGGCTCGGAGTCAGTATACTGTGTCTGAGTGGGGTATTCATGTTAAACAGCGGCATGGTATCTCAGTGGGCTAGCACTATAAATCGGCATCAGTCCGGACTAGTACAAGCAGCCTCACACACACACACACACGTGCTTGCACGTCGCTATATAAGTACAATAATCTTGGACGCGACGTTAAACCCCATTTCACCTCACCTCACCTCTTCATGTTTCACAGCTGTACACTAACAGACAAGGGAATATCGTAGAGCGAACTATGCCATTGATATCAAAGTGTCATGAAATATACTTCCATACATGTAACTAGAAATGATAATTAATCATCAAACAGGGCAAGTAGTTACGCATGGCGTGGTGTCCTGAGGAAAGTGTACTAGGGTAAGAGGAAGTAACGCGATAACAAAAAGGCGTTGTGTGATCAAATTACAACAATGTTGCTATTTTTGTGATACAATCTATACAGGTAAAAAGGAATTATTCAAGCATGTAAGTCTGCATGTATATCTAGATTTAAAGGAAATGATAGCTATCCGTCCTCTGTATGAAACATGTTAAACGGTTCCTATTATAATATCTATTTTGCAGTCAGGTTTTAGTTGATATTTGAAAACATGAGTGAACAAACAATGTCTTGAAATAAGATTATATTTTGTCATTTTATTAATCTACCGCATGTATGGTTGACACCGCATTTCTCTGTTCATGGTTGCGTCCCTTAGGAGCACCAGAATGCTATGATCGTGTGTTCGAATCTCAGACTCACACTGTTATATTTGCTTTGTCAGCACCATACTCAGCCTGCTCGTGGGTTTCACCAGTTTTAGACATCAATACTGTTTTGCACATAATTACGGACAAATATGACCTTTCTCCACATCTTAATATTTCCCACAGAAAATGGTTTGGCTGAAGGCTTATTTTATATTAAAAACAGAAATACAATATCTCATTGAGATCCACTAAACCCATGCAGGTGGATTCCAACAAATTTCTAAGACCTGCCTCGCTCCAGGTTTTCTTCCAATACTAAGCTGATATGCCATGATATAACTGATTCTGAAATACTGTCACTGTCAAAATGTTGATAAACCAAACTCACTCAACCGTTCACTCAGTCAAGTAAACGGACAGAATTTAGCATGGATATCAACTTCTATACATAGTTCTTGTGTCCACGTTTCGGAGTCACCATCAAGGGATCCATTTCCTATTTTTACATGAATAAAAAAAAGATCAGGTTCAACAAACCATCGAGGTAAAACTACGAAAATTACGAAGTATGGTTGTAGTGAGAAACGTGGTCTAGTGGACAGGGTGTCTGCCCAGAGAGCGCAAGAGTGGTGGTTCGATATCCGCTTGCGCCATTCAAACGACGTTAAAAGATAGTACTTAAAAGATAGTTTTATCCAGCCTTGTGCTAGTCATTGAAGGAATAAAGAATGACTGGTTGGCTCGAAGTCAACGAAGAGAGTCCGAGTTGGGTGTCCATTTTAGACTGAGGCATGGTATATCAGTGTGCAAGCTTTTTTAAACCAGCTTTATCCGAACTAGTACAAACACCAACAAACACGTTATATAAGTGCAATAATCTTGAACGCAGTGTTAAACCCCATTTCATCACCTCAGTGGGGTACAAAGGACACTGGTGTCATTTCGTAATCTGTTTGTTTTCATCTCAATTAACACATTTCTGTCAAACGAAGCTATATATCCTGGTTCAAAATAGTAACTTCTTCCAGATCAGTACGATTGTTTTAACGGAAACGAGTTCTATTAATTATGGACAGCTCGTATTGATCAAAAGTGACTATTTTTTTAAATGTTGTAAGCGCTCATGAGGGACAGACGAACAAGCACCAGTAGTTTTCTCATTATATTGTATAAGACTATGACGACATGACAAAGAAGACCTTTCGTTCGATCGACATACATTATTCGCAACAAAGCACTGATATAAAGTTACGTTGTTTGATCCGCTTCGCAGACAAGCTAAACAACAGAACAATGTGCGTGCGTTAAGTAAAGCATAGATTTATCAACACAATTGCCACAAGATCCTGTTACAAAATGGATAACCTTGCAATTGCAACTTGATAAACCTCAATATGGTGACAGCGAGATGAGTGAGTGAGTCTGTTTGTAAGCAGCTTTTAGCAGCATTACAGCAATATCACGGTGGGGAGACCAGAAATAGGCTTAGATATAATACGACTTTCATGAATAACCCTGAGGCTTTGACGTTATGATGAAAGTATATAATTAGTCTAAGTCTCCCTGTTTTACGACATGTCTTAGAAATTAAAAATATGTATATCTCCGCAGGGGAGGTCAGGAGTAAATCGTTATTCCGGCTACACTTACCCGAGCCGAACCGTGAATCGTAAAAATCCCTAACCACTGGCATTGAACACAACCACGATGGTAATACATTAAGCTTGACCCTTCACCGACCTACAGGACGACAATGGTCACAGACCTCTCCGTTATGTTTCTGCCATCACCCAGACAAATGCTGCTCTCAGACAGAGAGGGTTGGTTTGACCTTGTTGTGACCGTACAGTAGTTAGTGATTCGTACTTCGAACTACGAGGATTAGTGGAATTCACTTTTCATGTGTACCTAAAGTCCTTGGATTAAATATGAAAAATCACTGAATACGTTGCAAACACTACAACCTAATAGCCTTTTGATGGCTTATTTAATGCGACACATTGTATATCAATTGAATTGTTCCAGAAACCTTGATATTCGTCAATATTTGAATATAGTTTATGAAACGCTTCTTATGACACGGAAACAGATGGCACAAGCAACTGTTTCATGACGTTTTTCATATGTACAGCTCGGTGAGGAAATTGAATTTCCGGATAACGTCGTTTGTTTTAGAACAGTTCCCGGGCGACAAAATCTCAACAGCCTTTGCAAATTGAAAAATGCATTAAAACAACAATTATAATTACCGGCCCACATACCTACAGGTTGTTGTTCATATCATTCAAGAATTCACCAGTTAGCATACAAATGTAACTCTAATCAACTGGTGGGCACCCATATAAAATTATATTAAAAATACAGTATGACTATCGTACGGAAATGTGGAAAAGCGTTGATGTAAAATGTGGAATGTATGTTTTGCTCCATGGAAATCGTTAATAGGTTTAAGTACTGAAATGTTTCTAACATTTTTGCAAGTCACTACACGTGCAAGTTTTCCATAGTTAAGTCACTACTAATTTTCAGTTATAGGCACTTAACATTTGTGACACAATGCTTTAAAAACGAAATGCGTCAGGCAATTTCTGTATAAAGAGAGGGACAAAAGAAAGTATACCCATATTGTGCTTTAAATGTTATCGTGTTTCAAATGTTGTAAAGTTGTGCCGATAAAAGCAAATTCATTGATTTGGAAAGACAAGATGCCTAAGATAATTATCCAACAGCAGTTGTGTATTATGCGATTTTCTTAAAAACAACTTCTAATGGTCAAATTTATTTTAAGAAAACAAGACACGTGGAATTATTGTTTGTTGTACAGTTCATGTGGGAATATACATATCGCTAACTTAATATATTTTCAATTGAAAATCAAACATATGGTAAAATCCACTCAGATTTATAGTTTATTTGGCTCCTAAGTTCGTTTGGTAAAACGTGTTGTAGTATTGTTTTGTTAAAATAGTTCAGTAACACCATAGAGTGGGAGGTGAACTGTCGGTATATATAAATTAATAATGTATCCTTTGTAATGTCATATTTATGTCACAATATTTTCACAAAATATCTTCAGGAAGCACAAAATACCTATATGCATGATCGATTCTATGTTCATCAACAATATGACTGTATATGTGTGCACAGTAGCTCAATGGAAGATGTGCTCAGAAGGTGCTAGTTAAAAAAAATGATGATATTATGAACTACGATCCATTTGATTGTTTAAGGGTTGTTCATTTTATGTGTAAAGCTTTGACTTCATAAACACACTTTGATTGTATTGAAACATATGATAAGGAATACACCAAGCTGAAGATAATACGCTGAAGAACGTGGCTGTCAACAGTTGCTCACCCATGCCTTATGTCAACTGTAAAATCCCGTTGGGATTCCGATAAGTGCTGGTCCACTGTTATTAATATTCTCTCGTAAGAGTCTTTTGAACTGAATGGGTCGTCAGTCACGGTGACTTGGTTGATTGCTTGTCATCGTACCCTGACAACGTAGGCTGTTGCTCATGTTTTCAGTCACTGGTTTGAATGGTCCAAACTCGATTATTTACAGGCCGACGTGCAAAACCTGGAATATCGCTGCAAATCAAATGACAACATAGCACGAAAACGGGAAAATATACTGTTTGGTATTTGATATACAAGTGTTAATGGTTATTACATGGTTTACAAGTCAAGGTTACGTTTGATGAAAACTAATTAGTAAGTGTGCTGTTTTTTCAGCTTAAAGCGGGAAGAGAGACCGAAGTGATGCAGGTCTCAGACGTGTACATCTTTCGTGAAACCACGAGCACAGGCGTGTTGTTGACATACCTAGAAATATAATCGGGGCGAACCGGGATTAGAGCCCACAATAATAGGTTTTTGTGCCCAAGGGACGCAACTCTACACAGCGAATAGCTGCGTCTTGGCCACACGTGCCCCTCAAAAATAATTAAATAACGGGTATCACACATTAAACGAGTCTACCAAATAACCACAAGTCTTGAGTGGCGAACACAAACCACAGATCTCAGGTAATGTGGAACTTAATCCTTTCACTTGGTCAGCATCAATTATGCAACAATTATTATTATTTATTACGTGCATTTTGACATGAACCTGATTTCCTAATTATCCATGTATTTCACAAAACGGTACACTGCCACTAAGCTTCCCCCGCTTTTGTTTTTGTAAAACGTATTAGCCGGAGGGTTTATTTCAATAAAGTATTTAACGTGAAAGGCATCAGCGTCTGAACAAGCCCTCCGTCTAACAGTTCAGCTTCTCTTGTTTGTCAACGCGTCAGAACACAATGATTCTTAGCAATGTACTTATTGATCCAAGCCTTCAGCCGGTTGACATTATATTAATCTGTGACCGGACAGGTACATTTCAAAGCGTAATCAACGCACGTCACGCTTCAATGTGCGTGGCGTCTATTTTCATTTCCACCCCAGAGTGTCCCTTGCGCCATTTAGTCTGCGCAACCGGTTCTGGAGCTAAATATAGCCACGTCCAAGGTCCTGCCGAGGTGTAAATGTTTTAACTAACAAAGAGCCAGAAGTCTTACAATGCATGTTCATGATTCACACAGTTTTTGATCATACCAAGAGGGTTGATTGAAGCGAAACGCCCTGCAACGCTCCTAGCCTCCCAGACCCTTCTCCTTTACATACCGCAGAGTATAGCCCACTATTCTTCTTGGGATCTAGAGCGCGCACTCAATAAGCAACCTGTTTGGCGCATCAGGGCTGTATTGTAAAGATCCTGTGGTATAGTTAGAAACTTGTTGAACGGGTGGTTTGCTTGCTGGATTTGACGAGTTTATCCATCCTCTACCCCGCGGAGTGGACTGAATTTTCGTTTCGTGGTTTACAGAACATTTTCGAGTGGACTAGTAAACATGGCTAGACAGGCCATGTCCTTCTTTGTGAGTCTTTTGACATTGTTTTCCTTATCAACTGTAACTGAAGGTGAGTTCATTGTTTATATTTTTCTCTAAAAATTCGTATTAATGGCGGCGTGACCCTTCCCGTGTTTACTGACAGACCGACAGCAACACTTCACTACCTTTAAACACTGTGATACACTTACGTACTGTGAATTTTGCATAGTTGATCGGGTTATTGCGCAGCAAGCTCTATAGTTCTGTATTTGTACTCACATCTTCGTCTTTGGAATATTTGGAGTGATACATGGAGTGTTATATGTTAAACAGACGAAAATACATTAGGTGAGGTGAGGTGAAATTGGGTTTTACGTAAACTTATGAAGTTTGTTATCGATGACGCGATATATTCCGCCATTGTGTTAAACATCGTATATAGGACCCTGCAATGACGATATACATTCGCATATAGACTGGACTTTCTTCATAAGATGATTTTTCTGAGCAGTTTGATATCACACAACAAAATTACCATTGTGGATTTCAAGGTTCCTTTTTTTAGGATAGAGTCTTAAAGAGAGACGTACGAAAACACAACCGGAGATGACAGTGAAGATTGAATTGGGGGCTCCGATGTGTGTTCACCTCTTTGTTACTGTACACAGGGAATGACTATTTACCTTTCTACTCTACCCTACCTTTTCATACATGCAAATAGAAAGAAAACGTGGACGGTAGAGGAACGCTTGGCAAATATTTGTTTTCGGAGGAAAGGACGATTTCTATTATATTGTCGACGTGTTCTGGTATCCATTGTGTGTCACTGGAGAGGTTGAAGTATTTTCCCTGTGAAGTGTGACTACATGTATGGTTTTAATTTGTTCAACAAAAACAAAATTTCTGTCCAGTGAATATTCGTCTTCCATGTCTTGCTTACGTCAGACAGCTGTGATGTTTGTACATCTACTTGATTGTATCAAACCCAGTTCTTCTAACCGGAGGCGTCCACACCATTTGTGAGACGGGCAGATGTAAACACATAGTTTATGGGACTACTTTAAAATGAAAGTTGATAAAGACACTCTATGAGATAGCATTGCTATATTCAAAATTGAAAGGCTCAATCATATGTAGTTTTCATTGTATACATTTATATGATTGGAAAACCGACGCACTAAAACATGTTTGGTATTATTTTGTCACGCTTGATGGGAGAGGGCACAAACGAGATGAAAGGCCATTGCTAAGTGGAAAACTAGGATGTCTGAAACGATTAATATAGTATGTGGTACGCCATTACAGCGAAATTATTATTATTTAAAAAAAGCCTGTTTATTCACTTAACTTGTGAAACTTATTTTGAAGTTATTTTTCAAAAGGAACACTGTAAACACTGTATGACGCTCTTTGAGATCTTGGCAGAAAGATCATGTTCGATTGTACATTAGAAGTTGTGAAATGTAGACACCAAAAGATGGAACTGCTGGAATACTGCTCGACATAAAGGGGAAATTTGACTATTGGAAAGTTGAAGTCATCCCTTGTCTTGTTGAAAATGTGGAAATTTTCTTGTCACGCTGAATCTTAATCTATGCATAGACCTAAGCATGAAACAGATGAGGCGTGATCATTGGTGTCCTTTGTTTTTAGTTCAGTTGGGTAAATCAGTTGAAGGGAATCGGTCATATGACCGTTATTGAACGATATCAGATAATCGCTTAAGTTAAACTTCTTAGCCAAATTGCCTTGTTTTCAGTTTGACTTAACAAATGCAAGGGAGAGAAATATATGAACAATGACTCTTGATCATGACTCCTCTCTTTCTAAGTCCCTGCACACCTGTATTAATACCAATAATCATAGATTATTCGGCAAAAGTCCTTTTTAGCACTTTTGTTTACCACCCACCCCGTGTCTCTAATTACTGCAACACCTCCCCTGAAATTCAACCTTGAATGTTACGAATGCGCTGGTGATAAACATTTCTTCAAACGTGTGCTTCGCAAACTCTACGCATCGCATAATGTACACGGTGTTGTTGTTTGAAGATTCCTTGGTCAGTGTCCGGAGCACGCAGGTAGAATGGAAGCATTTCGAAGATGCGCTGCGCTAGCTTCGCTTCACAATTTGGTACCGGTCTTTAAAATAATTTATTAATTTATTACGTAGATTGAGGCGCTTGCTACGGAAACGAATTTTTTAAAGAAATATAGCTGAAGAAAAAGATCAAGGTGTCTTGGATTTTGTCATGAGTATGAAATGGAGTTTTTTAATTACTTCGGAGCAGAAAATTGAGGACAGATTTTATTATTTCACATCGGAATGACTGAGACAAAATACGGATAACTTAGATCTGTACGGACATCATGGCGTAATAATGTTAGAGGCGATGTCGCTTGCTTGTCAAGTCACAATTGCCTGCTCTTTTGGTTGCCATGCCTAATGCTTTCACACACATGAGAACGTAGCATGCCCAGGTTATGACCAGTGCATGGATTAGAAGTGACGTAACTGAATGACATAAACAGTCATATATATTACCTGTTCTGACGAATGTAATCACGAAATCTCGGAGAATTGCCAAGTAGGCGTAATGTCGAAAGTGTACGGGAGACAAGCAGTAATCACCGAAGTTACACAACTTCAGCAAGAAGGTCGATGACCTTGGAGTAATGACCCGTGACATTGTGCAAAGCATTGTTATACCAGTTTTAGTCCGGTTTAGAGGTTGTCGGAATGGAAGTGAACAATAGCAGTCGTGCGATGTTAGATGGTGTTACACAGAACGTCCTCTATCACCCGATCACCCCGTCTTACTGGCAACAGGTTTTATTGCAGCTGGACTTTTATACATGTCTTTTTAAGTCTAGGGTAGAGGCAGGATAACTAACTGACTTAAAGTTTGTCCAGCTAGATAATTTATCTTTTCGATTGACAAAAATGAGCATTTAGCAAAATGTCATAGAGACGGGATCAAGCAAACCATTGCTGACACACGAGCAATGTTCCACGCCGTCGGGCCACGATGACACACAGATAGACAATCAATGAGATGATTGGGGCGACTGAATGTAACCAGTATCCCTTAGGGGTACGGTTGTCAATAAAACAAATGACATATGACATTCAACATTCTGTCAATGACTGTATGTGCATATGTGTCAAATGCAATCTTACATGAGTGTCTTGTCTTGTCTGATTATGTAATGTACATTGACTACATACATTCGCAATGCATTACTCACACTGTTTGAGCAAATGATTGTATAACTGATGACATCTCAACAATCAAATTCTGAAGGATAGTAATACTCATATGTCTATCACAGTGCAGTGGTCTTCATCAAACAAGCTGGAAATTATAAATTCAATAATTGGCATTAGTATTACGTCAATCAAACATGCAGTTAAGTTTTACCAGGGGGTCTGTCTAAGAAGACTAACATTGTTTTAATATCAGCATTTTGAAGTTTGATTTTCATGATTAAAAGTTGCTGACATTTAGCGCCACCTATCAACGAACACCTCAAAGTAAACAATGATATTTGGAATGACAGCTTCATAAAACGCCAATAAAAGCGGGGCTGCTGCTTCAGAGGATGTACTAGTGTGTAATACTACATAATTATCCTGCCTTGCGACCTTCAATGTTTTAGCTATTTAAAAATAACACTTCATAACCGTTTTAATTCAAGAGCAAAAGTGTTCGGTATATGTACACATTTTCACATTCAAAAGAATAAGAACATTTCGTTTTGTTATATGTACATAATATATCAATAGTGCCGTATTTCACCTATTCTTCCATGACCGTAGAAAAGGCTTGATTCAGAATAGTCCGTAGAGGTATAAAATCGCAATATCAGAACTCTGATTTTTCAAAGGCTATCAGAGATGTAATATACTATGCAATAAACGAAGGGGATATTTGAGGTGAAACTACAAGAAAATACACCAATGTCTGTCGATTAAAGTAAGTAGCCTGAACATTTCTAAGGTAATCAGCTACAAAACACAACATTGTGACACTCATGAAGCACGTGACCTCGGCAGGACGCGTGAGGGGTGGTATGTCAATTTACCATTGTCACGCGGTTGTCAGCAGATTGTGTTTTTGGGAAGCAAACGCTCAAAGACAGACTATTTTAAACACATTCAATCATTAAGGAACCAACAACATTGATCATGCGCACAGGTCAGAATATTGATGCCCAAACGCTGCAAGTTTCTCAATCTGTCATCAGCAAATTGTGGGCCTGATACCAACAAACACATAACGTCGATCATCGACCCCACTCTGGACGCCAAGGGCAAGAACTCCAACCCATACCCACCACTCTCAATGAGTTCTATGTAGTTCTCACTGATGAGTGAAACAACATAGGTCAGGTTGACAGTGGTCCGAAACATGCCCCCAAGAATTCGTGCATGTCTGTTCAACTGAGGTGGTTTTACCCGATATTAATGACGTGGGCTGCAAAATGCAAATTTCGAATTTGACCCCGACCTCTTTAACGACCTAGTGCGCCATAATCTCACTACACCAACCATTAGAAGTCATCAGATCTGATCGCCAAACCACCAGCAGATATGATCATATCATTCCGTTTCATAAATGAGCAGTTTTGCAACTGTTGGAAATATTTCCTCTGCATATCAAACATCAGCATTCGCTAATGATCAGACTTTATTACTTTATAGCCTTTATAGCACCAGAATGTGGCTTCACACATTGTACCTATGTGGGGAATCGAACCCAGGTCTTCGGAGTGACGAGCAACCGCGTTTACCACGAGGCTACCATACCGACCCCCATTGTAGACTAAGCTACTCAGACATATTTGTGACAATATTATTGTGAATACACTCTTCAACAAAAGAAACGCACAGGTGGACTTAAATTTATTGTACCTAATAAATTGATTTATTTGCTTTATATCCTAGATACAAATATGAAATTTGGGAGCTCGATTGTCACATGTTGTTGTACAAAGGCATTGAAAACTGTTCATTGTCATGTCACATAAGGCCAGAAGGTTGCGCTGAACTCGTATCTCGTGGGACCGCCCCGGGCAGCAATCACGG